AGAAAGGAATGGCAGAAACGTGAGCAAGAGTCAGAAATATTAAACCTAGAAATAACAGAATTGCAAAAAACAATTGCTAGTGAAAAGGACCAGTTAGAAAAAGCTGAGGAAAAATTAGCTGCCTTACGAGAGAGACCAGAAGAATATCAGAAGGACCTGGATGAAGCTGGAACTGGTGTCAGAAACATACAAGCCAGTTTGAAGGCGCAGAGGGGTGCCATAAACAAACATAACAAAGGCATACAAAAGCTTCTTGCCAGGAAAGAAGACATTGTTAAACAGAGTGAAGAATTGGCATTAGATATTAAGAAATTAAATCATGAGATCACAGCTATAAAGAATAACGCAAGAAAACGCAAACACAAAGTATCAGAATTGATAAAGAAATATGAATGGATCGAACAGGATGAAGCATATTTTGGTCAAGCAGGTACTTGGATCTTTCGATCATTCTAAGTACAGTATTTTCATTGTTTTCACTTCGAATTTCTTTGCTTAAGGTGGAATGTACGATTTCAAGGTGAACGATCCAAAGATAATGGGACAAAAGTTACGTTTGGGAAGTTACTTCCTTTTCGTTCTTTGTTTTGTGATCATTTACATTTTTATACAGCTTTCGAAAAAAATGTATACAAACATACTGCAAGAAAATTATGACAATCTTTGATTATAATTATATACAATGGTTTGCAATTACATACTTGTGTAACTTCAATAAAAACAAAGCTATATCATTGGTCATTTCGAAAATATTCCGCTGGAGCCAGCGAATAGTCAGCCTTTGTGTTAACACGAGTCGACACAAGTTTGATAACTGGAAACCACCGAATTCACTTTAAAAAAAGGGAGAACGCACACTAGATCAGAGTATATGCACCTGTGTGAAAAAGGAATCTATTTATATTGTAACGTCTTACAATCAGATATGTTTATCCTTAAAGCAATGAGATTTCCAAAAATAGGTGGATATTTTACATTAAAAGTTCAACGCTTCATGATAATGGAGGTTTGAAAATTTACGCATTTTCAATTTGTAGTAAAAATAAGTGTGTATATAATTCTGGCAGCTGATTCGCACGCTTTCCGATTATAGCGCCATCACATGGGACAGCTATTTGTTGTTCGTATTTTAAAGCTGAATCGTTTAACAAGAATGTTTATAATTTATTTTTAATTTTAATAAATATTCTGCCTTGTTTGAAACTACATACGTGGAGTAATATCTATTCGGACCTCGTAGAACGTTCATTTGTCATCGACTTATTTGACTTTTCCCAATTTTTGGTTCATGATGCGTTAGAAACGTTGAAAGTGGGTAAAGATAAACAATATAAAAGGAAACGCCACTTGTTGATGGTACGCTGTAAGTTCTTGTTGCTTTATTTAAATATAACTTATAATGACATTCCTGTTCCAAACGTGATGTGGAAATCATTCCTTGGTGTATCGAGCCACCATAGGATATATTCCAAAATTCACTGAGTGCATGGTTGTGTCACATGCAGTTGTATGCAGATAAACAGGGATACAATGATGCTCACAGTACTAGCAGTCAGTTTTGGAACGTCTCTATGATCTTTTGTGTGTCCTCAGAGTATTAAATTTCAAAAATGGAAGAGATTTCAAAATCCGAACAAGCCAATGATAATTTACTACGATCGGAAACCCCACAACATCTCGATGCGATGGGTTCTCCATCGTCGCCTCATTCTCCACATAGTGTAGCACTAAACAGGTACTTCACACTGAGCATTTCTGAACTGAACTTATAAATAAAATATGAAAATAATTTAACTATAACGTAGGTCAAGAAATTCTGGCAGAAATTCACCAAGCAGTTCGGTATGCAGTATTCCAGTTTCTGGAAGTGTGATACCTATAAGAGCCACTCACGCAGCATTAGTTTGGGGTAGCGTAAAAGCAGGAAAGTCTGATACCAAAGAACTGACCATTTGCAATATGAGCGACAATAAAATCAAGCTTCAGGCAATTATTGTAGACAATGAGAAGAACTTTAAGGTACGTCTACTTATTATGCTGACATCTTGTACACTTGGCAAAGTAATTCATTTACAACATGGCCGATACGGTGTAGTTTTTGAAAGAACGACAGACAACGGGATCGAGTATGATCTTGGCTCTGCAGCGAATGGAAAGTAGAACACTCTCGATAATATTTGGACCCACTAATCCTGGAGCCTGTGCAGGGAAAATTACATTTAGGCACTATGAGGCCAGAAAAAATAGCGGAAATTCATGCCCATCAAAATTCGTAAGTATACTTGTCATTCGCCACTGTACAATGGGCAACAGTGTTCTTTGTAACATCAATTCCTAGATACACCTGTATGGCTACGGTGGCTTTGGAAAAGTCGAAGTTTTGGAAGCGTTCAAAGATGTCAGTGGACAGATGTGGCTTTCAATGGGTAGATTTGGTTTGGAAGGAACTCTGAATGCGAAGATAAAATTGCAAAATTTCGGAGATCTCCGGTCTTACGTGAAGTTGAAACTGGTCCCTAAGGCTGTTTATCCTGGGACAGTTTCGAGTTGGCAAGTTAACCAAACTGAATTCCTACTACATCCTGGCGAAACACAGTGGGTTAGCTTGCAGTTCCATCCTAAAAAAGAAGATTTCTTACAGTTGCATCGTGCTGCTGTATCTCACGTAGGAACTCTTATTTTAACTCACGGAGACGAGCCAACTCGTTGGCGAATTCGCAGGTAAGTTGATGAGATTCTAATTTGAAAAAGAGAAATACAGAAAGCAATGATGACAAAATATTTCAGGCTGTACAAAAAACTACACGAAAGAGGGGATTTAAATAGGGAGGAAAACGAATCATTCAAAGATGTCGTTTATCCAATTTGCAAGGAGTTCCCTGGCGAGACGTTATTGGAAGACTTGACGATTCTTCGGGATTCTGTTGTAAGAACTAGACACGTATTTACTTCTAATTGAACTGAACTGATGAGTTTGCATCTCATACTTTTCAGCAAAATTTGAGAGATTTGTGCTGCGGCGTTTTTCAACAAAATGTTATGCTGACAATGGAATTAAGTGCAGATGAAACATTGTCGATTCTCGAGGATAATCCTGACGATTCTCAGATGTATTATTCTCTTTGTAGCGAGAGTAATTATTCGTTTGCTGCGGCCGATGACAGCTATATGCCTTCAGAGTAAGATTTATTAGGATTGCGATCTTTCGTGTGAAAGAATGTTTACTCATGACTTAACATTATTTTAGTATAATGAACAAAAGTCTTTGTGGAGAGCATGGACGGTCCTATGGAAAAGAATTTACAGTGAGTCCTTCAATGGTGACACTCGCACCTCCTCATACAACAGAAGCTACAGTTACTGTGTCAAGTTTTGCTAATATATCATTACCATTTGAGACTACTATCTCAAATGCAGAATACTTAAGTGTGACTCCCAATAAAGGAATGATTCCCACAGGGAAAAGCATCCCCTTGAATATAAGATGCAAAGAGGCAGTTGGCCAAGTGATTGAAGCTATTCTTTCTGTTTATATAGAAAATGATAAACGTGAAGTCACTATAACTATAACGAACAGGCACTGATAGTAAGAAAAGCCACATTCCTTTTCTCACAGTATGTTTTTTTATAGCACATTAAGTTAAGAAATAAACCGATAGTTTTTTTTTTTTTATTAATCATGTGATTGCTTATTCTATTTTATATAAATTTATAGTAGATATAATTATAAATATATTTGGTTGATTCATGAAATGAGCTTTGTTTTATGTGAACTTCCTTCCTTCTTTTCCATATGGATTTGGAAAAGTCGAAGTTTTGGAAGCGTTTAAAGATGTCAGTGAACCGATGTGGCTTTCCATAGGTAGATTTGATTTAGAAGGAACTCTGAATGCGAAGATAAAATTGCAAAATTTCGGAGATCTCCGGTCGTATGTGAAATTGAAACTGGTCCCTAAGGCTATTATCCTGGGACAATTTTAGTTGGTAAGTTAACCGAGCACTGAATTCCTTACTAGTAATCCTGAAATACATCGGACATTGATTATGGATCAATGTAGTATAAGCGAAGGTTGTAGTTCCGTTTCAAAGTGTCTCTAAAAAATCATAAAGATTCAAATTCAAAAAATTATTACAGTACTAGTCTAATAAATATTTTTTTTTAAACAACTAAGTATAGTACTAATAAAATTACCGATATTTATAATTAAAGTTTCCCTCGTGAAATTGTCTAATGAATTCTTTAAATTGCTTCTTTAAAACCTGTAGATTCAGTTGATTCTCACGTGGTTCTTGTGTAGCAAAATTATTTGAGAAAAATATTCCTGGATCGTCGAAACCTTCCATAACGTAGATAACTTTATAACAAATAACAAACTTTTGTATCTTTCGCCTATGTGCACTACGTGAGAACGGAATATTTAAGAACGCCTTCGAATCCTTGACTTGTGTATTTTGAATGTAACCGGCTGAAAAAGACAACTGTCATAGTATAATTTGTGCATTTCCGTTTTTAAGGTGATTACTTTTGCATAGAAGCAAGAGATAAATAATTCGCAAGATGTACATAAAGTCCATGGTGTTGGACGGATTTAAATCATATGCAAAACGGATTGAGATCAATGGGTTCGATAATGAGTTTAATGCTATCACTGGTTTCAATGGTAGCGGCAAATCCAATATTTTAGATGCTATTTGTTTTGTTTTGGGTATTACGAATCTGGGTCAGGTATGATTTACAATGTTGGTAAATTATTAGCAATTATTTTTACGCTTGTGCATAGTCTTACTTGATGTGGGACATGGTATTTATTAAATATTCTTTCAGGTCCGTGCTACTTCACTGCAAGATCTTGTATATAAATCAGGACAAGCTGGTGTAAAGAAAGCCAGTGTCACTATAACATTTGATAATCGTGATCGTAATGCTTCACCAATGGGATACGAACATTTTGAAGAAATTACTGTCACAAGACAAGTTGTTATCGGTGGCAAAAACCAATATATGATCAATGGATCTAATGTTCCATATAAAAGAGTTCAAGATATGTTCTTCTCGGTTCAGCTTAATGTGAATAATCCACACTTTTTAATAATGCAAGGAAGAATCACAAAGGTTTTAAATATGAAACCTGTTGAAATTTTGTCCATGATCGAGGAGGCTGCTGGTACCAGAATGTATGAGACCAAAAAGCAAGCTGCGATTAAAACTATTGAAAGAAAAGATATGAAATTGAAGGAATTCAATGATGTATGTCAATCAATTACTCGAGTGTTTCTTTTTTTTTTTTGAAAAATTTATGCAATATCATGTTTACAGATCATGACTGAAGAGCTGGGTCCTAAGTTACATAAATTGAAAGAGCAGAGATCACAATACGTGGAGTTTCAAAGAATAGAAAAAGAACTTGAACACTGTCGTAGAATTTGTATTGCTTGGAAGTATTTAACAACTTTTGTAAACAGTGAGAAGGCTGAAAGTGTTCAAGCTTTGAAGGATCAATTAGAAACAAAGGAGAAGAGTATAGAAGATTTTAAGGATGAGACCAAGACTATCGAAGAGCAGTTGGTTGAAATAACAAAACAAAGAGATGCTGTTAGTAATCTTTAAAGATATCAAAGCATTTATATCTCTTAACTCATTATTCTCATACTCTCCCTAGGAAAATGGAGCGAAGCTCGAAGTTCTTAAACGAGAACTGAAAGCAGCTGAAAAAAGGAAACACAAGTTGACAGCAGAAGCAAACAGTAACGAAGAGGCCATAAAAGCCGAAGAAAAAAATATAGCGCAACTTAAGAAAAACATCTCTGAAGATGAGAACACCCTAATCACGAAGGAAAATGAATTAAATAAAGTAGGAGGCTTTTTTAAGAAATTAAAGGAATTGGATAAGCAAGATTCCGACGCCGTCATAG